GGAGATAATTCTTGCAGTTGATGCATCCAATAAAGGTGTAGGAGGTGCCTTATTACATGTCATTGATGGTTTAGAGAGACCAATTATTATTTTTTTCGAGAATATTTCATGAAGTTGAAACGAGGTACTCTGTTATAGAACAGGAGGCCTTAGCGATTATTTTTGGGTTGACCAAATGTCGCGAATATTTAATTGGGAAAAGATTTGTGATTTATACCGATCACAAGCCCTTAATTCATTTGTTCAAGAAAGACAACCAAGAATTAATGATGTCTCCAAGATTACAACGGTGGTTGTTACTTGTGGGAAGTTTTAATGTTGAAATAAAATATCGGCGAGGAAGAGAAAATCATTTGCCTGATGTATTATCAAGATTGGGAGCAGGTTGTGCTACTTCTGAAATAATTGATAATATGATTATAGATAGAGAAGATGCTTTAGTGCGTACTTTATCATATATGTTAAAAGGAGGTCCTACAACTTGGGAAGATCTCAAATCATATACTTTAAAAGATAAAGTATTGAGGCAAATAAAATTATTTTTAACGGGAAAAAAAACATGGAAAAATAATTATAAAATTTATCAAAAATTCGAAAAAGAATTATCCGTGGTGGATGATTGTTTAATGAGATAAAATAGGGCGGTAATTCCTTTGAAATTACGTGCTAAAATAATTAATTTGTTACATGCAGGACACCAGGGTCAGGTTAAAATGAAATCTTGGGCTCGTGAATATGTGTGGTGACCTGGAATGGGTAATGATATTGAAAAAATTACAAAGGAATGTGTTCCATGTAATACCTGTGCCGTTATGCCCCATAAAGAGATGGGACAAGTATGGCCAAAATCAAAGAAACCATGGGATCGTCTTCACATTGATTTTTTTGAATTGGATAAAAAATCATATTTTTTAATTGTGGATTCATATTCCAAATGGATTGAATTTGAAGAGGTTCAAGGTTTAACAACTAAAGTTGTTATTAAATTATTACAAAAATTGTGGGCTAAATTTGGGATTCCTAAAATAATTGTGTCGGATGGTGGTCCGGCATTTATAAGTGAGAATTTTAAACAATTTTGTAATTCGATAAAAATTAACCATATTTTGACTCCACCTCATTATCCTAGTTCTAATGGCCAGGCTGAAAGAATGGTAGCCATAGTGAAAAGTTGGTTAAAGAAATCTAAACAAGAGAAAAATGAAGTCTGGTTAGCCCAGTTATATTATAATAATTCAAGAAATAAAGAGGGAGTTACTCCTGTTGAATTATTTTTGGGTAGAAGAACCAGATTACCTTTAGATTTTCTTAAATCAAAAGAGATTGATAATTTAGAATCTTATGGAAAAAGCAATATAAAATTTCCTGTGGGTCAAATTATTTGGGGAAGACTTTTTGACCATAAAAAAAATCGGAAAAAGGTATTGTTTTGGATAATATTGGGAATAAATTGTGTAATATAAAGTTTGATGATGGTACTGTGGGAGTACGTCATAATGATTTTATTAAGGTATTTGATTAAAAAAATAATAATAAATTTGTCCATAAAGACCGGAAACAAAGTTCCTATAAATCTTTAGAACAGACTTACTCTGTACTTAAACAATTTAGAGTTAAATTTATACAATTTTAAGTATAAATGAGAAATATAAATTAGATAATTAAAAATATATGTATAGCAAAAAGGTGAATAAACTGAGAAGAAATTAATATAAAATAAAATACTTATCATTTTAGAGAAGAGTGAATAAAAAAAAAATTTTGAACATGCAGATTTATGGGAAAATCTACGCTAGGTATATATGTTACATTTTATAAAAAAATTTATAATACTCTTTATTGGGAGAATAATAGTAGATAATTGAAACTTTATAATATAAATTTCGAGGAAAATATGAGTTTTTTTAAATTAACATGTGTTATGAATTGATTGTAAAAAAGAAAATTTGTTTTTAATGATAAGTTAGAGAATGTTTTATATAGAAAGAAAAATAAAAAGAAACAAAATTTCTTATATGGAGATAAAAGTAAAAATAAACAAAATATTTAGTTTTTGAAATAAAAACATGAGTGAGTTTTCATGAAAGTTTCTTTCTTTGTATAATTTACATAAGGGAAAAATAGAAGTAATGTATATTATAGAAAATGGAGAAATTAATGTTATATATGAATTAAATATATAGGGGTAATAGTGAATCCTTTATATGTTAAAAGAAAAAATTGAAAATGGATAATTTGTGATTTATTATTTTAAATGTAAAGTGAAAAATAACATATTTTTGTAAAAGAAAATAACTGGAAAGTTGTTTTTCATAAAAATTCATATAAAAAAAAGAGATGATTAATAATTATTAATTTATAAAGAAATAATTTAATAAATTATTTTTCAAAATTAAAATTTAAAAGTAAAATTTTTTTTATAAATTAGTGTATAAATAAAAAAAAATGAACTATAAATTGGACACAGAGGACCATATAATATATTTGAAAATTGTAAAAAAGAGAAAAAATCTATTAAGAAGCCCCGTGGGGACAGCTATAAGCGTTGCTTTAGATGCCGAAGTTTCGGACACTCCATTAAAAATTGTATGATACCAACTAAGGTATTGATGAAACAAGAGTGTAATGATTATGTGAGTGACTCGGAGGAAGTCCCTACAACCAGTTATTTTTGTGGAAAAAATAAAAATGTAATATCTGGGGATAGATATGTAAATTATAATAAAACAAATGAAATTGAATCTAGTAAACAATATGGGAATAGACCATGGCCACCGCATAACTATGATGGAAAGTTTAAAAGAACAAATGGAATACAAGCTAAAACCGTGGTCGGAACAAATTCAATTATGGAAGATAAATATAAATATTATACTAAGATGTCAAATATCGGTGACAAAGCTACCAAATTGAGTTCGACCGTGATTAAAATGAATGATAATATGAATTTACAAAAGAAATATACTTGTATGGAAACTGAAGAAAATGAAATGTTAAAAGAGGACAAAAATATTGAATAAATATAGAAATGTCAAGTTCACATATTTCTTTTGATTATTACGTTTTGGTTTTTTTTTTGGCGGTCGTGTTATATATTTCTTATATATTTGTAGTGGATATTTTATATATATATTGGTATATTATATATATATTTATCAATATTTTTAGTATTCAATCAATTATAAATATATATTTAGTTAGTAATAATATTGATTTTTGTTGATATTGATTTTTATATGATAATCGGCGCGGAAGGTTTTGTAATAAAAAAAAACGAATGTTTTTGTATTCATTATGAAAATTATGACAAGATTGTTGGAATTAATATAATTATGAGAATATTATATAAAAAAATTATAAGATATATAAACTATTGTAAAAATTATGAAATAAAGTAGAATAAATAGCAAGAATATATTATATAATCGGAGGAATTAAATATATATATATAATTAAATATTATTAGAGAGTTATTTTAGAGTCATATAAATTTAATAAAATTAGAGTTATTTTACTCACCATCTTTAATCTAAACTTAAGAAATAAAAATAAATAAATATTTTATCAAGTTTAAGGTTAGTTCTATCTTATATTCAAATATTAAATCAAAATAATGAATATAACTAGACATATATACATTTGAAATTGGGGTCTATTAAACCCCACTGGAGTACTAACGTCATTTTTTTCACCGGAGTATTGAAGGGTTAAGAGTTGTAGTTAATTTGATATATATTATTTAAATTATTAAATAAATATAATCATTTATTAATTGAAAATAAAATAAATCCAATGTGATTTGTGTTAGCCGAATTCAAAATCACAAATCAGCAAAATTATTCATTTTTAAATTTAATTTACCATATCACTTCCTAAGAAAATATCTATGATCCAAACCAATGTACAAAACTACTTTGTTAATACTCATTTGTTCTATATATGAGGAGATGAATGTTTTAAATAATGGAATTGGAAGCAATATTTAGAATATTTTAGAAAAAGAACCTCTTTCATTCATTTATTATATTTATTGGATAATGAAGAAAGAAGAGTTATTGATTTTAAGATGACTTTAAATAATTGAAATAAAAGCAATATTATTGTTAATTATATTTTAGACAAAGGATGATAGTTGGAGTTAAAATACATTTAAAATAAAGTTTTTCAATTTCAAACAATGCTCTGGATATTAACAAAGGAGTAATTTGAGTTCTGAGAAACATAAATATTGAAAGCAAAAAAGTTAAGAGAAAGAATATAGGGTAAATTAATTTTTATACAAGATATTTTATTTGTAAAATAAAATAAGCTATATATAAGGCTCAATCTGAAGATATCTCTTATGGTATTAAATTTTCTAATGTAATAAGGATAATATTAAATATAGGTAGGAATTCTGATGAGGATGTTATAGCCTGATTGTAAGTAACAATTCATATTATGGTATATTAGATAATGATGGAAAAAAAAGAATATTTTTTTATCACATTTATATAATCCTTTTTACTTGCAAAATTTATTTAATGCTCCTTGATATTATAATTATATGATTTGCAATATTAATTAATACTGAAAAAAATAGATGATTTTTTAAAAAATATATTTTAGATAAATATTTAGTATTGCGTTAATTATTATTTATATGCTAGAATAAATGACAAAATAAGAAATTTATTATTAGTTCTGAGTTTGCAAATTTTAATTTAAATAATATTATATATTTTAAAAGAATCCGGCCTAAGCCTCCCATAAGATTTATTTTAGTTGAGCCCCCTAGGATAATATAAGCTAGTGGCTCTTTTTTTAGAATATTAATAAAAAGAATATTATTATTATTATTTGATCATCATATATGACATTATAATTAAACAGGAGGGGGGGGGGCGATTATAGGAATTAAGAACCTGATAATTTATTTTTGCAACCCAAAATTGATGTTTCATATTTTTCTGTTGACAACTGTCATTTATAAAAAATAAAATGTTATTTAATCAGTTTTAGCGCAATTCTAGTAAATTCACTTAAATCACATATGTATAGGAATTTTTAAATTATGTTAACCTTGATAAAAGATATTAATTAACCTCAATAAATGCATTATATTTTTTATTCCTGAATATATGGCATTATATCAAAGTAAGATTAATATAAATAATTACTTAAGCAATTATAAATAGAAATAACCTTATTTTTTACTATATTGAAGATTCATACATATTAGTTACAATTTTTTAAATAAATATTCTTGTGAATTTATATATATATATAATATCAAAAATAACAAATTTTAATAAAAAAATTATTTACTTATAATTTGCAAAGTTATGGCTAAAGATCAATAGTCCTTGTTTTTATAGAAATATATGTATATAATCATGGTTCATGTAATTGAATTTTGTTTTATAATGCACAATGTACTAGTTATATTTCAAAATATAACAACATACCTTTATTGAGTGAAATCATTATACTTTTATGTTAGTTTTATATTAAAGGGTTGATTTATGATAAGTTAATTATCAAATAGTACTGTCTAGCAATTATATAATTGTATCCCATTAAATTTGCCCTTTTTTTCAAACCTATATGTTCAAGCCAAAATTATTTTCTAACATGATTATGATTTAAATGTTAATAATAAAATTAATAACCCCTCCCTCTCTCCACACTCCTTAAGTTTGATTAATTTAAAAACTATCATTTAAAAAAACTAAAAAGCCAATATTATCTATAACTAAAAGCCAACCCCCTTTAGAATTTAGTATTAGGCCAATAAAATATAATGATGATCCCCCCACCCCCACCTTCCCCCTTTTCTAAGGAGTATTTTCCATAGATTAAAATTAGAAATAATAAAAGGAAATCTAATGTTAAGGATTTTTTTCAAGGATTTATTAATGAAGACTTGAGTTTTATTTAGGTTGGATTTTGTGATATCCCAAGGTATGATGCTATAAGTTAAGGATGATAGTATATAGGTTTTGAAAATTTGAAGTTTGAGATAATGTTTGAATGCCATAATTTATTTAGAGAAAGTATTTGCTAGTAGCTTTAGTAAGTTTAGGTGAAATATCAGGTTTGGTCGAGCCTTTGTGGTCAATGATAAATAGTTGAAAGATTTTGAGAAAAGGATATTTTTATTGTTAAATATATAATTATGATGTAATAGAGAAGTAGATACTGCATAGCAAAGCCATTCAACATTTTGAAGGTTACACAAATTGATAAAGTCACTAATTATTAAATCAAAAAAAAGGAGGAGATAGAGAACAACCTTGTTTAATGTCACATTTAATTTTGAAATAGGGGGGAAGTTAAATTATTATGTTTAATATTAATATACTGTTTTCATAAATGGACATAATGATTTTTATTAAATGTGTATTAATATTATATTTGAAAAGAATGTTCCATAAATATTGATGTTTTATCGGATCAAAAGCTTTAGAAATGTCAATAAAAATAACATAGATGTCAGTTTTGTAAATATGGGCTTTTTTGAGTCTTATTTTGAGTGAGGTAATTAGTTTGATGGTATTACGTCCTGGTCTAAGCATGCAATGAATTATGAGTATTTTTATCAATATCTTTAAAGATAAAAAAGATGTAAGTAGTAAAAATTTTGTAAAAAGGGGAAGAGAGGGTTGCCTCTATAGTCATAGATTGAGGAAGGATTTGGTAAATTGACAATGGTGGATTTACATCAATTGGTGGGAAGAATTGTTGTATTCCAAATTTTATTTAAGGTAGGAAAAAGAAGATCAGTAATAGTTTCTGGAAATATTTTTACTATTTCATTATGGATATTATCAACAGGGGATTTATGGTTTTTTTTAGATTTTTTATAATATTAATAAAATCATTTTTATTATGAGGATAGGGAGGGAAAGTAATAAGTTGATGTGAAGAGAAAGAAATGGGACAGGGAAATTTATTGTTAAAAAGAGATCTATAGTAATCAATAAAAATATTTAATTGGTCTTCAGGATTTTTTATAATAATTTGACCAATTTTTATATTACTTTTTTATCATTTGAGGATGTAATAAATTTTAAGGATTTGAAAGCATTAGTCATTAGTACATTTAAATTCTGAAATATTATTAAGTTTGTTCTTAAGAAAATTTTGTTTATCTTTTCTATTAGATTTTTTATAATATTAAGTTTAGCTTTAATATGTTGTTTTTTCCTTGTTTGTTTTTTTATATTTTTATTGGGTAGGGAGTTGATTAGGTTAGAAGTATGGTTACTTAACCAATCAGGATAAATAGTTTTAATATAATGAAGATTTGCAGAATTAATAATGGAATTTTGGATATTGTTCCATGAATTATTAAGGTTAATTGATTTGAGACTTGAATGATATTTATCAGCTAAGGTAAGGATATTTAAGTTATTAATATTATATTTTTTTTGATGTAGAAGATATAGAATTTTTTGAATTGGAAATATTAAGGTTTTTTAATAATGAATGTTTGATAAAAAGTTGTTGACCAATAGGGCGATGATCCGATAAGAAATTGATATCATTAAGAATTAAAATATTTTGTATAAAAAAGTATATTTTAATACTTGTATAAGGAAAAAATCAAGTTGACTTTTATATAAAGAGTTAGGTTTAAAATAGGTAAAATAATAATTATTTTTTTGTTTAAAAAAGGTGTTAATTATTCTAAGATTAAATTTTTTACAAGTTTTAATAATATTTTTACTGTTTTGATTTGTTTTTTGATCAAGGGCAGCAAAACTGATATTTTTATTTGTATATTCATTACCTATTTTCATGAAAATGATTTGTATTAATTTGTTTAAGATGGTTATTTAGAAATGTATTGAATTTGAGATATTCTGAGTGATTAACGGGAGGATAAATGTTTATAAGATGGGTGATTTTTCCTTTAGTTTTTAAAGTAATAGAAGAGATACGGTTGCTATAGATGTATATTTTAAAATAGAATCCATAATAATAAATGATACACCATTGGTAGATAGAAGAATTAGAATTGAAGATTGTGTAGCCTCTTAACTTTTTTAATTGAATTATTATTTATTAATGTTTCTTGTGTCATTAATATAAAAATATCTTTTTCCTCCATTATTTTTCTGAAGATAGTAACTTTGTTTAATAATCCAGGAATGTTATAGGAGTATAATTAATTTTTTATTTAAAGACATAATTTTAAGAAAAAGATTATAAAAAATTAAGATTTGGTATTTGTTAGGAAAAAAGTATTTTTTCATAGTAGCCTACAACTATATAAGTATAGTACGATAATATTCCAAATTCTTAATCAAAGCGAGAATCATTTTATTTCACTTTCAAAATATTTAAAAATTGCTTAGCAGCAATTTATATATCGACTTTATTTATTTTTGATAAAATGAGCTCATCTATGGATCCTAATTTGATAGAGATGACAGTATAATCTCCCAAGCATGAATTTAGACTATCCTTGATACAATGTTTCTTTAAGAATTCCATCTTAAAATTTCCTTCCAATTTGGTTCCAATCAATTACCATATCGCATGCATTACCTTAAAAACAAAAGGCAAGATCACCCATCTTATTAACATTTTTGTTCCTGCTAATTCTTCTGAATATCCAAAGTTCATTGATTCTCTTAATAATCACCTTAAACAAATTAACACAAACCACTTTATTATTATTGGTGGCGATTTTAACATGAAAATTCGTAAAAAAAAATATCAATAATATCACAGGATTCGCTTTTCTAAATAAAAAAACTAACCAAAATGGTGAAAAAAATAATTGAAACCTGCATGAAATTTAATCTTAGAATTATAAACATCTTTTTTAAACAAAAGGATAATAATTATTTTATCATATTACAAACCCAACTCTTTATAAAAAAAGCCAATTAGATTTTTTGCTTACTAGTATTAAAATAAATTTTTAATTCAAAACCTCTCCATTCTAATGATATAGATTTCTTATCAGACCACCATCCTATTGCTCTAAATCTTTTTATTAAACCTTCCCTTTTAAGAAATCTTAATATATCTAAGTTAAATCAATCAATCCCACCTCCAAAAAAACTACAATATCAATAACCTAAGTATTCCTATTCTAGCCAACAAGTATCATAATAGTCTTAAATCAATTAACAATAATAATCCATGGAACACTATCCACAACTCAATTATTAACTCTTCTAATCTTTACCTTAACATTAAAACAATTTATCCTGACTGGATAATCACACATACTTCTTACCAAACAAAAATAAAATAAAACTAAGAAAAAAACATTATATTAAAACTAAACTAAATATAATCAAAAAATCTATCAGACGAGATAAACGTAATTACCTCACAAACAAAATGATCAATATCTCAGAATTTAAAAGCACAAATGACCTTTATATTGCCTTTAAATCTTTAAAATTTATTACCTCTTCAAATGATAAAAAAAAATAACCTAAAAGTTGGTCATCTTATTATAAAATATCCTGAAGACCAATTAAATATCTATATTGATCATTACAGATCTATCTTTAACAATAAAATTCCTTGTTCCAAACCATTTTCTTCACAACAACTTATTAAAATTCCTTTTCCTCTGAATAAAAATGATTTATTACTATTATAAAAAAACTAAAAAACCATAAAACCTCTTCAGATAAAACACACAATGAAATATTAAAAATATTTCCTGGAACCATAACTGATTATTATTTCCAACTTTTAACAATATTTGGAATACAGCAATTATCCCCATTGATTAGTGCAAATCCACCATTATCAATTTACCTAAAATCTCAAATCCAATCACAATACATGATTATAAAGGCATCAATCTCACATCTTCTTTTTTAAAAAAATTTTACCATCTTCATTTTCAATCTTATTATTAAAGATATTGAAAAAAATAATCACAAATCCATTGCCTCCTTCAGACCAGGTTGTAATACTATTGAACTAATAATTGCTCTTAAAATAAGACTTGAAAAAGCATCTATTTATAAAACAAATATTTATATTATCTTTATTGATATTTCCAAAGCTTTTGATTCCATTAAGCATTAATATTTATGTAACATTCTTTTCAAATAATATATTAATACACATTAAATAAAAATCATTATGTCCATTTATGAAAACAGTATCACTAATAA